AGAGATGCATTGAATATTCCATACATTTGTAAATTAAATTCCTTGATTCCTCTTTGCAACAGAAATAATATCATTCTCTGTATATGTAAAGGAGTTCTATACCACTTGACATTGTATCTACAAAATTAAAAATAAATTCATAATTAGAGATACGAATTGTTTTATTAGTTTACTTGAAACTAATTTCCTCTGTAATAGATCAACTTGTACGTTTAATGTTATAATTACTAGAAAAATCTTTATCTAGCGAAAGAACATTTCTTACACAGTAATAAATACATGATTATTGTGGTCATTTACACTTTGTCCCGAAAAATTGCTGATAAACATACATAAAATACATATCAACACAAACATAACAGGTACCATGAGGTTCTTAATGTTTTTTTCAGATGATGCTATCTAAAAAAGTAAATTATATTTCATGAAAATTATTAGTCAATATAATATATACTTTTTATCAACACGTATAATATACAAAAAGTTTTCTTTATTTCATTATTGTGTATAGAAAATATGACAATAAAATAAGATATTTCTAAAACTAGGATGACTTGTACACACAAGAGGCATAGCTATAAAGCGCTGAATACAAGTACCAATAAGAATACAACCTATTTTAATACAAAGTGGAAAATGTTATTTCAAAATTACATTTATTTGCAATGTTGTTTACTAATTATCAATAACAAATCTGCAAACTTGCATAAACATTATGTGCCTACAACATTTCTGCGTTTTTTATAAGATAACGTGTTTTATTCGTTATTTTTCTTCTCATAATATTTAGTATCTAAAATTTTACATTTGTCTTCTCTATGTCATTTATAGTGGATCTTAATTATTGCAGCTTCATAATCCTGATATACATGCTGTGTTCATTCTTATCATCCTTACTGAACAATATTGCTAAGAATTTTGAAACAGTTTTTGTATATATATATATATATATAATTAACAATATAACTTACATGAAACAAGTTGAAGCTCAAAGAAATCACAGAACATGTTATAAAAACATATATTACTACCTCCAGTATTGATATTATATGATTGTTCAATCTTTAAGTACAAAAAATATGTAAATATTGCACGAAAATTATCGTCGTAATCGTAGATACAAACTTTATAGCTTGCCGATGAATGTTGACGGCACAAATTATACCCTCAGTCATCAAAACCTCATTCTCTAGCGTTATGTTTTGTCGAATATTAGTATTTATTACATTTTTGATACGATAACTGTAAATGTGACGTCGTAATTACACAGCAATACATTAAAGTATTTTATTTTTTAGATAACATTGTTACTAAAACGCTTTTTGTATGTTGCTTAGAGATATAAATTTTTAAAAACATTTCACATTATTGAGGTCATTTCTCTATTCGTACCTGGCAATTCTAAACATTCCACAGGTATATTGAATACATGCAAGCAATGTTGTATAACAACCTAATGTTGTAATTCCCCCAATGCTACAAGCTGCGCTGATGTGGAATGTAATCATATAAAAATATTTTTCCTTATCGATGAAATACTCCACCATAAAAAGAAAATTATGTGATCGAGATACGTTCGTCGGTAAATTAACATCTGTCATATTTAACAAAAATTCACATATAGTACCACTACATATTATACAAATTGTCAATGCTAAAAATCATTAAATAAAAAGTGTTATTTAAATTACTTATATAAATATATGTAAAACAAAACCGTGTCTAGAAAAATGGATTCTTTTTTCTGCATATCTGACTATTATATTGATAACGCGATTCAAAATTAGAGTTGTCTTACTTGTAAAAAAAACCGTATAACAGTTCGCCATGTAGTCATATTTTTTCATTATAGTGATTTCGTTCTTGTCCTTTAATTCATTATGCACATGTTGAACTTGCATCAGTAAATCCTTAACCTGTCATTTCCAACTTTTATATACATCAAAGCACAATTTTCATAAATACAAATGTTTCAATTTAAAAGTTTGCTAGACGGAAAACGTTACATATTATATTACCCCGTTTGGCGGATACTTCGTAAACGGTCAACTTACATCTTCAATTTTAAAACGAAACATTATATAACTTATTGTCATCATAACGCAGAGAGACACGGCAGATAAAACCTTTGTAAAGATTTCCAAAGTACAATTTAACGTTAAAAACGTTGTTAGCTGTTGAAGAATCATTTTATTTAATTTTACTCTTATTTACTTTATTCTAATTTAATACTTTTACTTTAATTTGATTAATAATAAGAACTTTAACTTACAAATCATTGCATAACTTGGTTAGGTGGCGTGCGTGTGAGTGCAAATGTACCTCAGATAGCGGCATATAAGTATATGTAAGTACAAGAACCGGGAAGAGAACAGTAGAAGAACAGTGGAAAGTAGTTTTGAATTATAAGAAAGGCAAAAAAGTGATTTTTAGAGATCCGAAAGGTATGGATAAGAATGAGGTTAAGGAGGTGATTGGAGAGGAATTAAGGAGAAACATAGAAAAGCTAATGCAGCAGAAATGAGATAAAGAGATAAGGGAATTAAAGGAGGCGGAAATAAGAAGGGGCGAGCAATAAAAAGGAAAAGTTAAGGGAATAGGAGAAAGGTAAGTAAGATAGAACAGCTGATGGTGGAATTAAGAGAGGTAGTAATTGAGAGAGAAGAAAGAAACGAAGAAAGAGAAAGGGAAAAGAAAAATAGGAATAAGGGAGAAGGGAGGAGCGAAGATAGTAGCGTTAGGTCGAGTAAGCTAAATTAATATAGAAAGTGCGACAGTCGAGATAGCACTAACAATAAGTTAAGTTTAAGTAACGTATTTATACAGTAAGTTTAAGAAAAATTGAGAAAATTAATTAAAAAGACGTGGAAAAGAAGTAGAAAAGAAGAAAGAAAAGAGGAGAAATAATATGACAATTAAATTAAAGGGTTAAATATGGAAAGAAGAGTCACTAGGAAGGAAGATCAAGGAAGCCTCAAGAAGTACCTATCCTTCTCCGATATTGTGAGTGGTGACCTTTCAATGTTATTTTCCAGACAAAAATAAGGGACATTTATTTTTTATACGTGCCCACGTATGTTTCAAGGAAATGAAACATCCATTTGAAGAAAAATTAGTTTTTCTCTTTCGATGCAAATACAATATCTCCAAAATTATAAAAGATAAAAACAAATTGTTTAAATAAAAGTGTTGAATCGTTTTAAGAGTACTATAAAATAGTAACAAAAAATTTTGAATTTTTGAAATTACTCAAAATACCCCCAATATTTAAAAAATTTCTTCAAAATTTTGAAATTTTTTATCACGAAATGAAAAGTTATTTTTTTACGAATTCAAGGAAAATATTATTTTATCTGTTAAAGTGATACACGGGTTGAGGAAAAGGATAAAATAAAATTAAAGCCAGTTTACCACGCACACATGTGTGAGCATGTAATTATGTAGTAAGAAGTAAAAAAAGAAACAGCAAAAGGAGGTTTTATAATAGGCAAGATGATAGATTGGGAAGAGAAGTAAAGTCCTATTGTTTAATTTGTATGTTGCGAATTTATACACATACTTACATAAAGGATGAAGTTATATGCGGTATACAATTAGGAAAAGACAGGGCGTGGTCTTTTATAGTATATGTATCGATGACATGGTGTGAGCAAAGAATAAAGAGACATTATTGGACATGATAGATACATTGAGATGATTTTTAAGAATAAGAAGCTCACAATTAATATAAATATTGTTACATAATCGTATTTCCGTAATGAACGATCATATTGTATGGGTAAATGTATACTTGTAAATTCGAAATGTTTTTTAGAACCATATTTATAATAAAATTTAGCACTCGAGAAAATTAAATACACTCTTATTTTATTTTTGAATGTGAAAAGATTTCATGAGTGATTGAAATTTTATTTACCTCTACTGCATGTGCACTTCTTCTTTTTCGATACCTCTCGTTAATTCTCGTATATGTAAAATTAAACTAAAGAAATTGAATTAGAGTAAGTAAATTAGAATAAAATTAGATAAACTTGTTTTTCAACAGCTAACAACGTTTGTAACAATAAATTATACTTTGGAACGCCTCAGAAAAATTTTGTCTTTCATCTACGACACCTTTCTACGTCTTCATAAGATAGATTTGCGTACCTCCTTTGCCACAGAAATATTCTCAACTGCAATTATTTCAAAATCGAATCTACTTGGTAAAGTCTATAACTATTATGAAAGTGATCAGATTAGATAAATATTCAATATTCTTAACTTTCAAATTACTAATCCTGATTAATATCTTTAGGCAAGTATTGGTTTCATCAATCATATGTATTTAATAATCGCTATAATTTATCGATATTTTGTTGTTTAATGGCAATATGTTTATTCTTTATTTAAATTTAATTATTTGTATAATTCTAGGTACGAATTAAATTGTGTTCTAAGCATAATATGTTCATGTGTTAGTTATATGTATAAACATTCTTTTTTATTGTATCCATATGTAGATGTAGACTATTCTAAAATATTCTATAAAATGGTATCGTTTAATACGACCGCGACAATTTTTTTTATATAAATTTGGTCGTAAAATCGCTTTATAAAATATAAAAATTATACGTAATATATAATACTGAAACTATTATATTGAAATTACGGGCTTCGACTCTCGGTTAAAAATATAAACAACAATAATGTAGTATTGTAACAAATCATTATTATTGTCCTTATATGCATATCAGATATTCTAATAATATATGTATGGACTCAAGTAATAAATAATTCTATTTGGTTCTACTGACTACAAAATAAATAATTGGCACTAATTTCTCATATCAAGTCCTTTTTACAACGAAGAACACTTATACTTGGTGCAATCTTTCAAGTTTTTTGATAAAGTAATTTTATATTCTATAATATATTAACAACTTCAATAATTTTTTTAGCAGTAGGACATCTATCTCACGTACACAAGATTTTTAGTCTTCATATTATTCAAACAAAAATAACATTGTAAAGAAAAAAATTTTTTAATTACATCCTTACCATGGTATTATTTGTATTGATTTCATTACTGTACAGAATATATGACAGTGAAATAAGATATCGAGGTCTTGACTAGCTGCAATTATAGACATTTCTATTGTGTTTAGTGTACGATATGAAGAGCACTACTTTAAAATATTCTACAAAATCTTACCGTCGCAAAACCCTCAATAGATACACTGAATACTCCACCGATATTTAAATAAAATTCCTTGTTTCCTGTTTGCAGTATGAATAATATCATTCTCTGTATATGTAAAGGAGTTCTATACCATTGGACGTTATATCTGCGAAATTAAACATGAATTTCTAAATCGAAATACAAATTTTTTTATCAGTTGACTCAAAATTAATTTTCTCTGTAAAAACTCAACTTCTACATTTAATATTATAACTATTGAGAAAACTATACGTTCTCCATCGAGAGAATGTTTCTTACGCCGTAATAAATACGTGATTATTATAATCAATTACAGCCTGTCCCATTAGATTGCCTACAAACATGTACATGATGCATATTGACGCATATAAAATTGGTAGTAAGAGATTTTTAATGTCTCTTTCAGATAATGCTATCTGAAAAAATAAAAAATAATATTTAGAATTAGAAATTAGAAATTAGAAAATTATTAATCAACATAATACACTGCGCAACAAAATTAACGCAACAAAAATTTGTATACAAATTTCACTCAACTTCAAATAATCGTAACTTCGCAAAACCTTAATGCATTTGAAAAAAAATGCATAGGTAACTTTGATAAATCATAACTCCGCCAAAAAAATCGTATAGACTTCAAGTTTTTTTAGTTTGTAGGGGAAAGTTCATATTTTACAATGGTTCTTATAGACTTTGTTAAAAAAATTTATCGCACCCCGTGAAACGCGTCAAACTATGAAAAGTTTTGCAGGCAAAACACGTCCTTACTTTTAAAGAGATCACGATAAGGGTAACAGAAATATTCCAAATCTGAAAACTTCTCTTTAAAGTAGAGATTTCCAGCTTTAAAATTAAAAAAATTTCAAATGCGATAAGTTTTCGCGAGGTTACGATTATTTCAAGTTGAGTGAAAGAAATTTTTTCAGCATTAATTTTGTTGCGCAGTGTATATGTATACTTTTTATCAACATACATAATACCATGTAAAGTTTTCTTTATTGTTAAAACTTCGATTACAAGGGATTTATAGATATAAAAAATATAGCTATGAAGCGTTGAATACAAGTACCAAAAGTATTATATGTATATTCTTTTTAACAAAGAATTGAAAATGTAATAAAATTACATTTACTTGCAACATTTCTGTGTTATTTATAATAAATAACGTTTTCTACTCTTTAGTTTTCTTATAATGTTATATATAATAATCTAATATAATAATGTAATAAAATAATAATATATGTACAGGTTGTACTAAAACCACCGGATATCCTTTTAATCACAGAATGTTTAGAACATTTCAAGACAAAAATTCTAACACAAAAATGTCGAGGCTAAAATAGTTTTTAATACTAACAATAAGTGATTATATTTCACAAATTGTAGGCCTGAGATTTCGCATTTAGGCACGGCAACATGACAGGTGATAAAAAGTATTCCTATGAAAATTTCACCATTTTTACTTAATTCAAGTAAAAATTTGCAACATGTTGTAATTTCGAAGTGTTGCAGCTGTCAAAGCGGTCGATCAATATCAGTTACAATAAAGGTTGTTACTATACAGGGTGTCTGATGCAAAAGTAGCAATTTTGGAAATAGCGGTAGATTGGGTTAAACTAAGGAGAAATATCATGTACCGAGGTACAAAG